CAAGCATATGAGTGCCAAACTGCACCCTCTGCGCATCCGAGCAGTTCATGACTTGAAAGATCTTCTCAATTGCTTTCAGCCATACTTGTGCTTTGTCAGGTTCATGGGTTCCCTTGAAAATTGGTGGATTATTCCTTTGAAACCTTCCCAAAACACGAAACTCATCATCAGTGTTGTTTCCAGCATTCACATTGGCTTGAGGATTCTTCCCAATTGCTTTAGCCAACATCACAAAAGCCTCAGCAATCGCTTCATCAATCCTGCCTGCAACTATTGTTCTTGATTCCCACAACAAATCCTCGTTAGAACAACCATATTGATAGTGCTACACACATATACCAAATGTACAAGGGAATGAACACATTAACAACTTGGTCAACTGACCGACCTGCTATGTACCACTAATGTAACACCTCCTTCTACACCCCCGAATAACAATAAATCATTTAAGCACATACTAAAATTTCATTAGAGTATAATTAAAACATGGTATAAAAGAGGCATGTCACATCATCCATAAAATCAAACCTTACAACACCTGTTCTATAAAAGACATGCAACAGCGGGGTAGCTTTCAACAGAGGAACTAAGTCCTTACACCCACATCTCAATATTTAGAATTAAATGCGAAAAATCTAAACATTGAATCATTTTAAACATGTAATCATATAAATACATATCATCCAGTTTGATTCACCACATCATTCATGTTTACGTACATATTTGTCAGTAGATACATATGCAAATGTATCACAAAAGAATGCTATACAATCCTAACTATCCGGTGCTACATATCAGAGCTTAACCGACCAAAAGACTAAAGTTATACTTCACAAAAGACCTCCAACAACCTAATCTGTAATGCTTCATAGAGCATTATAAAACAGCAGAAGGGTGAGAAATATTATTATAATAATCAATGCATATAATTTTATATATATATATATATATATATATATATATATATATATATATATATATATATATATATATATATATATATATATATATATATATATATATATATATATATATATATATATATATATATATATACATCATAGAATACACATATTCCGCATTTCTCACCACAGCTCATTATCATCATCATATACATCACAAAATATGTATATATAAACAAGTATGGAATGATCACCAAGCATATTCATCATGCACACATCTATAATTCTCATCAATTCACATAAAATACACATATGCATACATTCACACAACATTTATCTCTATGCCATGTGACTCAATGCAACTCATGCCATGTGGTACCAACACTTGTTATTATTTTTCGGTTTTTACATTTAAACCGGGTCCATTCCCTAGACCGATAACAACAAAAGCCCATTCCCTAAACCCCGCTCTAGGTTTGGGACAAGTCACTAGTCTCCACGAAACTAGCAAGCATTGCCTCTTGACTAAATGATGCGTACGCAATCAACAACCATATGCACTTAAGACCGTTCTCGCATCTTAATCCCATGCATAGTCAATAATTCATCACATAAGAATTATAACATGATTGCACACTCACGCATCATATCAAAGTATTCATACTTTCGACATCAACACATTTATCAAGCAATGCACACATATTCACAATATGTTCTCATGCATTATTCACAATATCGTGCCAAACGGCAATGAACCTCATCACAAATTATCATGCATTTTTAATTAATTATAACAATGCACATATTTGTCAAAGAAACCACATTCCACAATCGATTCCACAATCTAGGATTCACGCCATACGGCTACCCACAGCATATATATAACAGCACACAATCACTCATTTCAGATCAAGATTGAACACAATCGAACCAAACAATCAACATTGGATGGAATCAAAAAGAAATAAGAATGCTGTCACGCTTGATGGCTTGCTCGCCTAGTGAGATCCTAGCGAACACTCGCTACCTGTTCGCCTAGCGAACAAGCTCGCGAAGGCAAACAGAAGCTATTGTAAGGCTTCGCTACCTACTCGCTGGAGCTTCGCCTAGCGAACCCCTTGCTACCTCGCTCGCTACAAGCGAAGAGGGTCAATTACATTCTGTCCAAGTCTTGGACCATTCGCTACTAGCTCTCTACAGCGAAGACTCGCGACCTGCTCGCCTAGCGAAGGTACTAGCGAACGTCTGCGATGTTCAAAACCCCAACTGTCCAAAATTCAGAAGCTCCCAAATCACCCGATTCAACTCCAATGATTTCCAGCAGTCTTAGCCTAACATTTCCCAACTAATCTACACCATTTATTCCGGATTTTAACCGTTAAAACATCGATTCTATCGATTAAACTCATTTCTGCCCTAAAATGGAAAATGGAGAAAACATCCAAACAATCCATACATAATCATAAACATTGATAAGATAACAATATTTCACATCCTTACCTTGATTAAATCGAAAGCTGGAAGTTGTTCTTGAGCTTTCCAAGCTTTTCCTTCTTTTCCTTCTCTTTTCTCCTCTTCCTCTTTCTTTCTCTTCTCTTTCTCTTATCTTTCTATTCTTTCCTTTTTCCTTCCACTTTTCCTTATATGTCTTCTATTCTATTTCCTTCCATCATATTTCTTCACTCAAATATCTACCAATAATTCCAATAATTAAAATCATCCAAATAAATCAATTAATTAATATAAATAATTAACTATTGAAAATTGGACTGTTACAAGTTTCACCTTACTCTTCTTTGACTCGTCAAAATCTACTAACCATATTTTTTTACCAGTCATGTGATTTGAACAACCTGAGTCGAGGAACCAGATCTTGGATTCGACATGGTCATTTGTAACTGCAGCCATAACCACCATATCATCAGAATCATCTGAATCTTGACGTGCAAGATTCGCTCCTTCGTCCCTGCCTTTTGTCGAACCTTTGTCTTTCCTGTACCAACAATGGTTGGCCAAGGGACCATATTTTTCATAGTTATAGCACTGCACACCTCTTTTCTCTACTTTGTCTTTTTGATAGGAATTTCCTTTTCCTCTTTTTGAGGATTCAGAGGTTCTATCATCCATCTTATTCTCGTGAGGATTCGACCAAGACTTTTTTCCCCGAGTCTTATTGATTTTTCCTTTGAACTTGTTGGAACCACCATTCTTCTTCCACAATTGCGCCTGTAGTGCTTGTATTGAGTCTTGAACTCTTTTCCTTTCGATAATCTTATTCTCGCGCACTTCCAACGAACCAACCAAATCTTTCAGTTTTAGGGTTTCAAGATTGTTCGATTCTTGAATAGTTACGATAACATTGTCAAAGTGAAAGGTCAAAGTACACATTACCTTCTCAACTATCATCTTATCAGTTAGGGTTTCACCACAACCCTTCATGAGATGAATGAGTTTCTGCACCTTCGACACGTAGCCTACAATTTTTTCATCTTCTCCCATTGACAACAACTCATATTGTCGTCACAAAATTTGCAACTTGACAACCTTAACTTTCTTGCCTCCACAAGAATATTCCACGCCTCCTTTTCCGATTCTTCATGAGTGACTTTGTCGAAAATAATCATATCATCCACCGATTGGATGTAGAACGCCGCCTTGCAATCCTTCTTCTTGGCATCCTTGTGAGCGGTTCTCTGTGCTTCAGTTGCATCTTCACCAAGCGCATGAACAATATTAGTAACCACTTCTACGATTTCATGAAAGTAATGATGTCAAAATCGAAGACATTATTGATACTCCGTTCAAAGAAGAAGTCGAAGCATTTGCTGACATTCTCGACACAGTCGAAGTAGAAGAAGATATGACTGACACAAGTCAAAGACCTCAAAGAACTAAAGCCCGTCCAATAAGACTTCAAGACTATGAAGTGGTTGGTGATGATGAAGTCACAATAGATGGGGAACTAGTCCATTTTGCTTTACTTGTAGGTGTCGAACCAATCAACTATAGTGAAACCTTCAAAGATAAACAATTCATTCAATAAATCCTGATTTCCTTATTCTCTCTTTCTTTCTTCGCTAAAAGTGTCTCATGCATTAGCATTTTATATGTAATCGATCATTTGTTAAGTTTTGGCTATTCCCTCTAATGCTTGACTTCTTTTATAACTTTTGATAATATTTTACTTGAAATGTTAATTTAGGTGATATGAAATAGAGTGTCAATTTATGTGTTGTCTCATATAAGTCCTTTACACCTAATAGGTTCTTCATTAAAAAAAAGTACTCACTTTTTCCTAGATCAAATCCATACACGTGCATCGTATTTTACTCTTCATTAATACAATGAACAGTGAAATTATATATATATATATATATATATATATATATATATAATTATTATGTTAATTTTTTTATATATATATTTTTTTTAAATTAAATGATATTGGTATAAAATTGTGATTAAACAATTTTATTTGTTATAAATTATTTTTAATATCTGAATGTTATTAACTAATTTTTTACTTTTCATTAATCAACTTTTGTTCACTATTAAAAACAATTTTTAATATCTTGACATTTATTAATCAACTTCATCATTTCATCAACCAACTTTTTACATTTTATTAATCAACTTTGTTTAACTACTTTAAAGTAATTGTTCACAGTCACGAATGTTGTTCATACATTATTCATAAAAAATATTTTTTTAATTTAAAAAGACGTTATTCACCATATAAATACGATGAACAATATATACGGTATGTGTAATTTTTTTTAAAATGGTGTAGGAATTAATAATGCACATTTCTGAAGGAAAAAAAGTGTAACATTTATAGGAAAATAGTAAATTAGAAGAAAATAAAATAAAGTCAGTATATATAATTTGAAGTATTAGAATAGCAGCTTTTTTATTTATTTTTCATAAATAACCAATTATACGTTTTTCTTCAATTAATAACAATAACAACAAATAATAAATAGCAATTTTATTTATTATTACACCAAGTCACTAGTTAATTGATGCAAGGATCAATTAATTATAGAAGTGGCTGCTTTATTGGTCACACTATATATACCTCATAACCCATTTCATGCTCTAGGCATAGCTGCACATTCCATAAACACAAGAACCTCTATTGTCGCACTTGTTACCACATTTCCCACAATGTTTCTCATTACTCTTAGGGTTCACGCACTTACCTTCACAACATATTTTGGGAAAGCTACATTTCTTTCCACACCTCCCACAATTAAACACGTCTGCGGTAATATTGACACAACTGTTGTTACAGCAATCAGGGCCTGCACTACCTTTGATATTACAAATCTTTGGGTATTTGTCACATGTAAGAGAGATTTTGTTTTGTTTTCGGGAAAGGAAGAAGTGGCTTGTTCCTTGAAGATTAGAGTTTTGTCCATCCATTTCAGAAGATGTGGCTAATGATAGTGTAATGGCCAAAGCCAGGATAAGCAATGACAGTGTAATGGACTTCATTTTTGTGTTTATAGCTATAGGAAAGGTAAAAGAAAGTTGATATGAGTAAATTACTACTTCGGTAGATATGTATTGAATGAGAAAAATAAAAGATATTATCGGTATTTATAGAAGAAAAGAGGTTCATTGATACATCATATAGATTGCAATTTCATGCATGAGATCATAATATTGGGTAGTGGGGTGGTCTTAATCAGTGTGGCTGAATTGATTATGTAAACCAAGTTAGGCTTGTTTGGCAAGAAATACTACATATACGTATTAACTGCGTCTATCATTTTATTAAGCCTGTATAATAAAAATAGTATATTCTATAAATATATTTCAAATGAAGGTTGGTCGTATGTAAAACGAAGTAACTTGGCAGTCGTTTATGAATAGTCCACGGAGGAAAACTGAAATCAGTTACAGAAGCACCAATATACCATTGTTTGACCTATGCTTATTAGAGTATATACGCTTAGACAGCTAATACTTTGACTTTCTTCAATCAAATGTGTACTAATAAATTTGGATAACAATGCATAGTTTTAAAGTACTTACAGCTCATATTTCAATAAACAGTTCTACATTTAAGCACTTATAAAAGAAACATGTTTTTTTCAACTTTCAAATATAGTAGTGTAAATGTTTAATTACTATATATTTAATTAAATAATGTCAAGTGATAATATATAATTAGTTATAAATATTTGAATAAATTACTAAAGGAGTAGTAATCAAATTACATCAATAGGGTTATAAAAAAACTCATTAAATAACATCAAGAAACACTTAATTTTTTTTCTTCATAAATTCATGTACTTAACTCAATCTTCATTTCACGAATAATATAAGACAAGTAAACACAAGTTTGAGGCATTATTTTCCTCTCTCATCATCTTCATTCAAAATGTCATCATTTTTTTCATTTCTTCATTGTTCTCTCTCTCTCTCTCTCTCTCTCTCTCTCTCTCTCTCTCTCCTCTCCTCTCTCTCTGCTCTCTCTCTCTCTCTCTCTCTTCTCTCACTCTCTCTCTCTCCTCTCTCTCTCTCTCTCTCCTCTCTCTCTCTCCTCTCTCTCTCTCTCTCTCTCTCTCTCTCTCTCTCTCTCTCTCTCTCTCTCTCTCTCTCTCTCTCTCTCGTTTAGCTCGGTATAAAAACAAGTTTTAGTTCGCGAGCTCATCTTGGAGCTAAAAGCTCCCAAAATTTGTTTGAAGCTTGAAAACTAAATGCTATAAAATTCTCCTGAAAAAGTGACTAACCGCTTCGATTCACCCTTTGGAAGGAAGAGTCAATGATTTTCTTGGCGTGATTGTTGTTTGATTGAAAATTAACCACAAAGATGAGTTAAAAAATAAAAGTCGAGAGTAGCAAAAAAAAGAAATCATAAGAAGTGGAAGAAGAGATTCCACCAAAGATTCGATTTAATACAATTGCCTAAGCTTCGCCGAAAAATCGAAGGTTCACCGGAGTTTCCACCGGAGATTCGATATGGTAGAGTTGCCTCGAAGTAGAGCGTGCTACTTGTTGATTTACGTTTCTGCACTTCCTTTGATTTAATTCCATTGGTTAATTTTGGATAATGGTGTTTGAATCGACCTGGTTGATGAATCTATGGTTCTTTAGGGTTTAGAACTATAGACCTTAATTTATATGTTTTGATGTTGTTTTTGTTATTTTTGGATTTAGATTAGTGATTAGAGTAATAATTTAGGGTAGGTTTGTGTTTGTGGTTTTTTATTTTAAAGAGATTTAAAAAATTTTGGGTTTGGGATGAAGAACATTCATGATGTTCTTCATCGTGTTCATTTATTTTTTGTATGTTTGATATGAAAAGTAGTAAAAAATATAAGAACAAGTTTGGTTCTACATCTACATACCTTTATGTTTTGATGATAACAAAGTGTAAAAGAATAATTTTGTGCACAAACTGTTTGTTAAGTATGTAGAAACTCAAATATCAGAACATAATCTAATTGGAAAAAGCAAATGCTGATTAAAGCAGATTCTAATCAAGGAAATTCAAATGCTTGTCTTGAGACAACTCTGATAGTTGAAGACCCTGAAAGAAGTCAGCAATGATTGTCAACTCAAAAGACATCAAAGAAAAATGGAAAGCAATTCAAATTAAAACAAAGTCTGAAGTAGGGTCTGAACGATATTAAATTATAAAAGCAAGACTTTGAAGATAGTCATGCCATTGAAGAAATCAATCTGAATGCAGACGAATTCTAAAGAAAGACGAAAGCAGATTGAAGAAAGGAAAAACACATGTTGAACAAAGGAAGAATATAAAGATGTTAAGCAAGTTAAACTTTAAGATTATTAAGTCAACGTTTCTGAAAAGAAATCATTCAGACAAACTACGATAAAGCTCTGACTACAAGTGTGTCAAAGTATCATAGCCCAATACTCAAAGGACTCTAAAGGCTCTCAATGTTTTGAAGACATCTTCTGTATTCTACTCAAGCTTCACCAAGTTATATAAGAAGCCTCTGAATAGAAGTTGGTAAGAAAAGGAAATATTATCTTACAGTCAACGCATCTAAGCTGAACAAAGTGTCAAATGCTTTTGCATTTCTTGTTTACATTCACTTCAGACTGTAGTACTTTCAAGTCTGACTCTGAATAAACTTTGTAGTCTACATTTTCTATGAGCTGGACTCAAATCAAGCTTCACTTCATCTATTATATGAAGTATTTGATTATGATGAGTATTATACTCGAGGTAAAGTACAATTAAAAAGAGATTTCCTTAGGAAGAAAAATTTTAATCTCTACTCAAGCTTCAAACTACTTTCATAAGAAGCCTCTAACTAGAAGATTTGAATTAAAGGTTTTGACTATTTGATGTGACAAACATTAAAAAAGAAAATCTACTTTTAAAGTAAAGAAGACTTCTCGTATCCCATCAAAAAATAACTCTCTGCTGCAAGTGTCGCTCAACTGTTGGACATGAAACAACCTTCATGCAACAGATACTTCAAAGGTCAATTCCTATTCTACCCTCAAATGGATCTATCCTCCAACGGATCTATTTATCTCCTATATATTCTGAAGAATATTGAAGGTGAAAGAGGCCAAGGAGGGAGCAAACATAAAAAAGAGAAGAAAGTAGAAAGAAAGAAAGAGCGCGTGGACACAAGCATGCATGTTGATGTGTGTGAATCATAGCAGACGCTAAAGCCATAACATCACAACACAACAAAGAGAGAAACACTCAGAACTTTCATCGTATATCTTTTAAGTGTATTAACATGAACTTCATCTTGTGTAATATGCTTATTTAAGAAGCACATTTGCAAACATAAACTGCAATAACCCAGTTGGTTATGTTCCTCAACTGACCAGGTTGGTCAAGCTCTTGAGAAGTCAGTGACATGTAATCATTGAGAAATCTTCTTGAGCAGTATTTTAGGTAATGTCTTAAGAATTTAATGGTCGTTGGGGTTTCTTAAGTGACCGAGTAGGTCAAGCTATTGGGAAATCAATGACATGTTGTCATTGCTTTGTAATCATGATTTGATTATTAGATTAAGTTCTTAGCTAAGGCAAATCCCCTAATGGGTGGACTGGAGATAGCCCAATTAACGGTGAACCAGGATAAAATTTTTGTGTCTTTTATCATTGTTTTCATTATTCTTGGTGTTACTCTTGTGGTTATTTTGGGAAGCAAAAAGTTATCAAACTAGAAACCCAATTCAGACCCCCCATTTCTTGTATTTCTTGCATCTTTAATTGGTATCACAACACCAATAATGTTATTGACTAGATTGTCAAACACTTAACCGTGTTAGAAAAAGATCATTTATCTGCCACAAGCCTACATCCTGCAGATGCTGAGTTGTTGATGTGAAATAAGATGAATATCAACAAATAACTGAGCAAGCAAAGCAATCCACAACGCGGATCTGGATTCAAGCTTGAGGCTTTCAAAATAAGGATTGTTGAAATATTTTGAGAGAATGATGCTCAAAATTACAAACTCCTATTTTGGTTTGAAAGAACCAATGGTCACTTCAAATGACCAAGTGAAGAAGATCATATGTAGTTAACCACTGAAGAAAAAGGTTATGATGACTACACTCAGTGTATTCACATTCCTGAACTAAATGATGGCTAAGTTCTCTGGGTAGTCAGGAGATCATGCTTGAAAAGGATGAATCATGGAATGTGTCTATGACTCCTAAAGAAGCATCAGCCAACATCGAAAGCAAAGTCAAATCAACTTCTCAAGCCAAAGATGAATAGGTGGACTTGTGAAGTCAACCTTTGTGTAGAAGATGTCTGAAGTCGTCAAGAAGGACATCTACCTCACCCAGAAGGAGATATGTCACTATAAATGGAGTGTTTCTTGTTCGGTGGAGAAAATCCATGTTCAAGGACAAGAATAAAACTTTGATGGGATGTAGAGGGCAACTCTAAAGAATATTCTTTCAAAGAACAAGCCAACATTAAGCTGAGCACAGAAGCATCTAACTCCTCAGAAGAAGAAGCTAAAGAAGCACAAAAAGCATTGAAGCATTGAAATCAAATTTAGATGTAGAAAATGTACTCTCACTTAACCTTTTATTCTTCTTCAATTGAAATTCTTGAAAAGGATCAAAAACTTCATAAAAGTGAAACTCAGATAGATTCATATAGCTTTGTATGAAGACCATCGTGAGTCAATAATATGAAACTCTAGTTTATTAAGATCGAAATTATGTATGCTCTCATAAGCTAAAATAATAATATAGAGAAAGAAACTCTTTTAGAAGCTCCCATGGATTCTGAGTGTGCGCTGAAGAAACAATACAAATTTTTTCCATTAATTTTAACTAAGAGATTAGTAGAAGCATTCTGACTTCTATGATCCCTTAACCATGTTGACATGAAAAAATGGAATTTGTTTTTGAATTGAAAAACTTATTATTTTTCATAAAGATTAACATCTCTTTCGCTGGTTTTAATAATAATAAGAAATTTGACAAGTTTGATTCTCAAAAGTGTATCATGTTAAGATACTCTAAATAGTC